AAATCTTTTAAAGTTATTTTTTTACAGGTTTTGATTTTTGAATTATATGAAAAATAAGTCGTTATGCTGCCGAAATTTAGTTAGAATTTAAGAATTTTAATAAATGTAATTTATTTGACAGGCCAATACGGAGACCCAAGAGCCGATGTCTGCTATAGACAATTGGGCGGACATGCATCGTCGCAGGGACTCTTGGGTTAATACCCATGTGGAACAGACTTTCATAAGTATTTCTACTTTTCATATTAAATTTTTTTTATACTGAAATAGTGATTTTATAACACGTAAAAATAATTATAATGTCTTATTATGTAGAACACTCTGGAGGAGGAGAGACAAATGCAGAGACCACAGACTACTGCAAGCTCAACTAGACCCCCCTTGACGAGCATAGGGTTTTGGAGCAAGTTCTTGGCATGCGTAGAGGACATAAGATAGGAGTGGGTCCGACGCTCTCCCAAGAGCATTACTCCAGGGCTTCTCCTTCATCTGCTGGTTCATTCTTGGACGCAACCTCATCGGCTCAACCTAACTCACGTATGGATCGTTATTTAAAGAAATCATACCGGGAACAAATGAAGATTTATGATAATCAGGTGAAGATGTTAGAGTTAGTGTCTAAATTGCAGCCCAACATCCAATTACCTACGATTGCTCGTCCAGAACCAGTTAACCTAGACACTCTTCTACCTCCTTCAGATGATGACAGTCCTGATGATGATTCAGCTGTTGGCGATGCTGCAAACTTAGACGAATAGTTCCGTTATATGTTCTATTTTATTTTTCACTTTAATTAGACTTTTATATTTTTTTGAACATTATATATGCATTTCATGTAGTATTTGGATTATATTTTATAAATTTATTTAGATTTACTGTTTTTAATATTAATTTATATTTCACTTTTAATGTATCTTAATAAATTATATTCAGTATGTAACATAATAATGTTTAATTAAAATTATTAAAAATTAATTAATTGCCATTTTATAAAAAAAATTTTAAAAAAATTTATTCCAGTTTTTTGCGACGACTTTTTTATACGTGTCGTCACAAAAAAGGAAGATTATTTGCGACGATATTTTGAAATTTGTCATCGCAAAAAATATTGGATGTGACTGTTTCTGAGAGCTTTTTACTGTAGTAAAATTCGAATTCTAAACTCGAATCAGTGAAATTAACGGAGCCTTAATTTGTTTATAATTTGCAGGGCAGCAATGCAGTGAAGGAAGTTAGAGAAGGAGGGGAAGGAGGAGGAACATCAGGACTGTCGTATACTCCGGAGGAGAGCATAAAGGAAGGACTGTACAAGGCCAAACACCAAGGGCTGAGCATGCCAAACGATGTGGCAAGAGACGGACTGGTGAAGGCGGGTTTGGTCGGAGAGACAGCCAAGGAAACCTTGGATGGGCAGTGGAAAGCAGCCCAAGAGACCTCACGAAAGGTCAAGGATGAGGCAGCTGGGAATAATAGACGCCAAGTGACTGATCATTATGAAGCTGGTCCAAATATAAATGATGATCATGATCGTGATCGTGATCGTGATACTAGTTCGTAGGATGATGAGGATCCTAATGTTGGGGATTTGAGGAGACGTGCGGGAGGATATGATAAGAGATCAGATGATGATGATGATGATAGCCCCAAAGAGAAAGAAAGAGTCTTTTGGTAACTTTTGAAGAGTAAAGAAAAATATAATAAACAGTGGATGTAGTTACTATAAATCCGTGTGTCTTTCTACTTTCGTTTCCAACAACAAATCAGTACATTATTCAATACATTTCCAAAACAAACACAATCAGTTGCATAAATCGGAGAATATAACTAGTTTTGGCAGGTAATTCAACGGACCACTGAGAGGTAATCTGATGTAATCTTGTTGATGAAATTTTACCGTCATTGTGTGCGGATTTATCATTAGACTAGGTCTGTAACCACACGGATTAATGTCTTCATGTGAAAAGTTCAGACGACGATTGAGGTGACTAGGTCTTGCAACCACATTGGAATTGTAATACTTGTTTCTACGTGTTTTAATCGTAGTTTTATGTTCTAGCTCGTTATGCTTTAATATATATTCGTTCCTTTTTATAACGTTATTACATGCGCACATTATTTGTCCGTGTCTGCGTTTGAAATTGTATTACCACAGTTTTGCCTAGAAATTTAAGTGCTTAATTAGAAAAGCTTATTTATGTAGTACAAAATATAAAGTGCACACTCCATGCAAATGGAAATCAAGTTTCGCAAAGAACAGACGACGGTGTTACCAGCAAAGTAAAAATAACCTAAACGATAGGTCTTCTTATAAACATTACACGACACCTGAAAAAAAAAAAAAAAAAAATATATATATATATATATACACACACACATATACACATATACATACACACATATATAACATCAAAATTAATATAGTTAAACACTCGGTCAGGGCAAGCCTATATACTGGGATCGTTGTTGACACTGAAATGTGCAAATAATGCTGTCTGATCTCAATCAATCATCAATGCGAATAAATACGTATTAATGAAAGAAAAGAAGAAAAAAATTCAACCTGATTACACTCCAACGAGCGGCACTTGCAACCGATGGCGAATATGGCGGGCAATATGTATTGAGAAGGAAAAAAAAATAAATAAAAAACTACGATAGACGATAGATTACGGGTAATAATCTTTTGGATTACACTATGATGCCCAACACTTACGATCTATGATTGGTGAGGTCGCTATTGGGTCCGATGACATATGGTAGATTATCGATAAGAATCTAATATTTTACCTTATTAATCGATAGAGTGGCTTCGATAAAAAAAAAAAAAAAAATCATATATATGATGACATGATATTGAGTATTTGTAACGACATTTTACGAATTAAGTCGTCGCAAAAGATACAGATTTAGCTTACGTGGCTTACATTTTTTACGATCACATTTGTCGTTACAAATAATATTTTTTATTTATTTTACTAATTAATGTTGTATATTACTATATATTTAAACCCAATATTAAATATAATTCATGATATTATAATAATAAAAAATAATTGAATAAAAGGAAATAAATACTAAAAAATAGAAATAAAAATTATTATTGTAAAAAGTAATTAATAAAATAAAATAAAAATGTAATTATAATATAAATGTGCGGATCGTTTAATGTACCAGAATCCAAAATTGTAATAAGATTTGATTATCTTAAGTTGAATGTCGACATTTGTGATATTCCTTGAGATTTCTCTATTTGGAAAATTCATATGTTAAACTTGAGCCCTCGAAATAAACACCCACAACTATTCTAACCAACAACTAATAAAGGATTAGTCTTCCATAATGTCAATTTTAGTACAGATTTTATCTGCACTAAGCTTCTTTTTTTTCAATAATTATCTGCAATAGGCTGGACAATATTTTTTTCATGTAATTTTTTTTTTCTATTAAGCTTACCTTTAAAAAGAAAGACCTACAAATAATTAACCGAGAGAGAGACTGTACCCTTTCAGCCTCAAGTTAGGCAGATACAATCTCTGATGCCTTCCCATCGTTGGTCGCTTGTATTTCATTCATCGAGGCCCGTTTATTTCACCTATTCGAGTTTTGTTACAGTAAAAAGTTTTCAGAAACAGTAACATCTAACTTTTTTACTACAGTAAAAAGCTCTCACATAAAGTCACATCTCAACTCGAATTAAAAACTCGAATTAACGAACTAAATGGGCCTTCAATGATTTCTAGCTTCTTCAGCAACTAATTTAGAATCCGTAAGAGGTCATTTTTTGTTAAGCAAATTTATTTTGACTGGCTCGTCGTTTGGTTAAACGAAGAGAATAATACTAGGTAAAGATTAGTAAGAATATCCCAATTTTTTTTTTTATACTTTTTATGATGTCTAAGGCCCCATTTGGTTGGGAGATTGAGGTCTAAAAATTGAAGTCATTAGCTCAAATTGTTGTTTGGTGTCGTTTTGGACTGAGAACACTACTTGAATCACGGATCCTTTTTTGGGTCCTGATTCAAAATCAGGCCCCCCCTGATTCAGCCCACGACTCAAATTTTTGCACAGTAAAAACACTGTGCTCTCTGTCTCAGGAGGAGTAAATCCTCGTGACCAACCTCTATCCAACTCCACGTTCTTGCGCAGAGAGCTCAGGCTTCGGTCGTGTCTTGGCAGAGAATCTCTGCGCCTTCTCCAGTTTCTACCAAAATTTTCTCCTCTCTTCCTTCATTTCCTCCGACCTTAATCTCCCAGTTTTGAGTCCTCTCCTTTGTGGTTTTACACGGTTTTGACTCCTCTCTTATGTGTCTCTGCGCTCTCTTCTTCTCCTTTATCTTCCCTCATTTCTGTGTATAGTCGTGCCTTGCAGAGTTGGTCTTCACCTGTCTGAGTTGATGAGAAATGTTTCGCGTAAAGGTCTGCTCGTGAACAGACGATCGAAGCTTCACATTCGGTACCAATTCCGTCGATTCTACGAAAGGTTGCCCACTTCACGCCGTCGCCGGAGAGGAACAAGACGGTCATCGGAGAAATACCAAAAACCGGCATCCGCGTTTGGTGTTTTGCCGGCAGTGACGTTAATCTCTTCCTCAGATTCGAACAATTTACCGGTAAGTGATCCTCACATAGACCACGGTTGATTTGCCTGTTTGGGGATTAGGGTTTCTGTCTGATTTTGAAGTGTGGTTATGGTTGTTGTCAAATTTACCGATCATTTGAGATTTTGTGTTTATAGATCAGTGAAGTTTTGTGTTTCCAATTTTTATGTGAAGTTCATTTTATTTGTGTATGGTATTCGTTTTATTGTGGAATTTTTTTTACAATTGATTAGTGTTTTCAGAATTTGCTTGATTGTTGAAAACCGCTATTCTCATAGTTTGTGTGGTTATGCTATTTGTGATTTTTTTGTTGATTATTTGACTATTTTTTCAAAGATTGACATTAGTTTGATAAATTAGGTTGTTTGATTAGTAGGATGTTGTTAGAAGTAAATATTTGTGAGATTCCTATGAGATACGTGAAAGTAGTTTGATATTTGTTGGAGACAGTGTTCTGTTGATTCATTGTTGTTTCTTCATTCGATGTTTCCTTCAAGATTTGAATTACAGCCGGTTGTGAAAATCAACGATCATTTCTTATCTTTATAGGAAATCCAATTAAAATAGCATTGTGCTTCATTGTTACTTTATTTATAATAAAAACATGTCTACCTAATAGTGATAATTGGTAGGTGTGCATTCTAACTACCCCACAAATTCTATTAGAGCTTTTGTTGCTTTTCATATTTTGTACAGTTCTTGCAAGGCCCCTTGTTTGTTTTTTTTAATATACCACCAGAATATGTATGGTCAATGAGCTCCGTGGGAAGATTAGTTTCTTCTTCTACCTTAACTAGAGGATTCTTTAGGATTGCCGAGAATCTGTCATATTTTGTTATATAAAACTAGATACTTACAAGGTAATAAGTCAAATTCCACCAAATGCAATGTTTAATGCAAAACAGAAATGTCACATCTTCCAAGGATAAAAT